TAGGCATAGACGAGGCTACCTAAAAATGACAACAAGCCATAATATGACCCACAGCCAATATCATCACTGAATGGGGAAAAATTGAAAGCATTCACTTAGAACTGGAACAAGCACAAGGTTGCCCACTATCTCCACTTCTGTTCAACATAATGCTGGAAGTCCTCACTACAGCAATCAGACAAGAGAGAAGAATTAAAGGGCATCCAAATTGGAGCAGAAGAGATCAAACTCTCACTCTTTGCTGATGACATGATATTATACCTAGAAAACCCCAAGGATTCAACCAAGGACTCCTTGATCTGATAAATGACATTGTAAATTCTCAGGATACAAAATCAATACACAGAAATCAGGGCATTCATATACATCAACAACAGTAAAAGTGAGAACCAAATCCAAGACTCAATTCCCTTCAAAATAGCAACAAAGAAAATAAAGTACCTTGGAATATTGTTAACTAAGGAGGTAAAAGACCTCTATAAGAAGAACTATGAAACACCTGAAGAAGGAATAGCAGAGACGTAAACAGATGGAAAAATATACCATGCTCATGGGTCAGCATAACAACATTGTTAAATGTCTATACTACCCAAAGTGACCTACAGAGTCAACGCAATCCCTATCGAAAATACCATCATCATTTTTCATAGATATCAGAAAAATAATTGTTACACTTCATATGGAACCAGAGAAGACCCTGTATAGCAAAATCAATCCTAGAAAATAAAAACAAAATAGGAGGTATCAATTTACCAGACTTCAGACTATACTACAAGGCTATAGTCATTAAAACAGCTTTTTACTGGCACAAGAATAGGACATGACCAGTGCAACAGAACAGAGAACCCAGATATGAAACCATCCTCAATAGCCAACTAATCTTCGAGCAAAGCAGACAAAAACATACACTGGGGAAAAGAATTCTTATTCAATAAATGGTGCTGGGAAAACTGGATAGCCACATGTAGAAGACTGAAACAAGACTCACGCCTTTCACCTCTCACAAAAATCAACTCACGCTGGGTAACAGACTTGAACCTTAGGTGTGAAACTATTAGAATGCTAGAGGAAAATGTTGGAAATACTCTTCTAGACATTGGCCTGGGCAAAGAATTTACTTTAGAAGAAGACCGCAAAGGCAATCACAACAGCAACAAAAATAAACAAATGAGACCTGATCAAATTAAAAAGCTTCTGCACAGCCAAAGAAACTGTCAGGAGAGCAAAGAGACAACCCACAGAATGGGAGAAAATTTTTGCAAGCTACACATCTGATAAAGCGCTGATAACTATAATCTATTTAGAACTCAGGAAAATCAGCAAGAAAAAATCAAACAACCCTATCAAAAAATGGGCAAAAGACATGAACAGAAACTTCTCAAAAGAAGACAGAATAATGGCCAACAAACATATGAAAATATGTTCAACATCCCTAATAATCAGGGAAATGCAAATCAAAACCACAATGAGATATCACTTAACTCCAGTGAGAATGGCCTTTATCAAAAAGTCACCAAACAACAAATGCTGACATGGATGCGGAGAGAGAGGAACACTCCTACACTGCTGGTGGGACTGCAAATTAGTTCAACCTCTGTGGAAAGCAATATGGAGATACCTTAAAGCGATACAAGTGAATCTACCATTTGAGCCAGCAATTCCACTACTGGGCATCTACCCAAAAGATCAAAAGTCACTTTATGAAAAGGACACCTGCACTCGAATGTTTATAGCAGCACAATTCACAATTGCGAAGATGTGGAAACAACTCATGTGCCCATCAATCCAAGAATGGATTAATAAAATGTGGTATATGTATACCATGGAATATTACTCAGCTTTAAGAAACAATGGTGATATAGCACCTCTTGTATATTCCTGGATAGAGCTGGAACCCATTCTACTAAGTGAAGTATCTCAAGAATGGAAAAACAAGCACCACATGTACTCACCAGCAAATTGGTATTAACGGATCAGCACCTAAGTGGACATATAGGAGTAACATTTATCAGGTGTGAGGGGAGGGGGAGGGAGAGGGTATATACAACCAAACGAGTAAGATGTGCAACGTTTGAGGGATGGACACATTTGAAGCTTACTCGAGCTAGAAGGGGGGCATGGGCAATATACGTAACCTTAACACTTGTACCCCCATAATACGCTAAAATAAAAAAATAAAGAATTCCTACCACCACTAAAAAATGATAATTAATAAATAAATAAATAAATCTGAGGCATGATTTTTACATATACATATTCCTAATTTAAGTTGTGAAAAATATTTAACTATTGTGACACAAATATTTTCTGTTAGTATGCATATATTTTATTTTATTGTTATTTTTTTGAGACTGAGTGTCACTTTGTTGCCCAGGCTGGAGTGGGTGCCATGCTGTCAGCCTAGCTCACAGCTGCCTCGAACTCCTGGGCTCAAGAGATCCTGCTGCCTCAGCCTCTCGAGTAGCTGGGACTACAGGCATGCGCCACCATGCCCGGCTAATTTTTTCTATATATATTAGTTGGCCAATTGATTTCTTTCTCTTTATAGTAGAGACAGGGTCTTGCTCTTGCTCAGGCTGGTTTTGAACTCCTGACCTCGAGCTATCCACCTGCCTCGGCCTCCCAATAAAGATAAATAAATAAAAAATAAAATATGTCTATTAGATAGTTGTGTAAACAAAAATGAAGCTGGGCATGGTGGCATGTGCCTATAGTCCTCCTAGTCAGGAGGCCTAGGTAGGAGGATGGCTTGAGACTAGCAGTTATAGGCCTGCCTGGACAACATAGTAAGACCCTGTCTCTTAAACAGAAAAAAAAAAAAGAATGAAAGAAAGAAAAGAAAACACAAAACTAAACAGCAAATATAATAACATATTGTGGACTTCGGAACATGGGGAAGTGAAATGTATGACAATAGCTCAAAGTATGGTTATAGTGCAAACATAGTAATTCTTACTATGCATAAGGTAGTATACTATCCTTTGAAGGTTGACTGGGACAAGTTAAAAATGTGTGCCATCAACTCTACCCAGCACTGAAACAACAAAGAGTTATAGCTAATAAGTCAATGAAGAATATAAAGTGGAATTATTAAAAGTATTCAATTAATTTTGAAGAAAGACTGAAAGAGAGGCAAAAGGGAATAAAGAACTGAGACCAATAGAGAACAAATAACAAGATGGTAGACTTAACCACATATACCATCCCGTTAGAGATCAATGATCTAACCATCCCAATTAAAAGGCAGAGATTCGCCTGTAATCCTAGCACTCTGGGAGGCCAAGGCAGGCGGATTGCTCAAGGTCAGGAGTTCGAAACCAGCCTGAGCAAGAGCGAGACCTCATCTCTACTAAAAATAGAAATTAATTGGCCAACTAAAAATACATAAAAAAAAAATTAGCCGGGCATGGCAGCGCATGCTTGTAGTCCCAGCTAATTGGGAGGCTGAGGCAGGAGGATCGCCTGAGCCCAGGAGTTTGAGGTTGCTGTGAGCTAGGCTGACGCCACGGCACTCTAGCCTGGGCAACACAGTGAGACTACATCTCAAAAAAAAAAAAAAAAAAAGGCAGAGATTTTCAAAAGGATAAAAAGGCAAGACCCATCTGTCTGCATCCTTCAGGAAATGCACTTGAAAGCTCAAGCAACAAATAGGTGAAAAGTAAAAGCAGAGAAAAAGACATTCTGTGCTAACACTTCTCAACCAAAAGGCTGTGTTGGCTATAGTCTTATCAGAAAAAGTAGATTTCAGAGTGAAGACTGTGTTCAGGCATAAAGAAGGTCATCTCATAACCACACAGGGGTCAATTCACCATGAGCACATAACAATTCTAATAATTTTGTACCTAATAGCAGAGCTTCAAAATACCTGAAGCAAAAACTGATAGAACTGCAAGAAGAAATAGATAAATTCATAATTGCACTCAGAGATTTCAACATGCCTCTTCAATAACTGATAGAATAACTAGACCACCAGTAGACATATGAAAGATTTAAACAATGCTATAAAACAATTTGACCCGATTGGCATACACATCAGAAAGGAAGCAGTACAGTTGTCTTTATTTTCAGTCAATATGATCAGCTATATAAAAATATGAAATACTTGGGAATAAATCTGAATATAGGCACATAAAACCTGTACACGGGAAACTACACATCATTGCTGTGAGACATTCAAAAAGGCCTAAGAAAATGGGAATACTGGAGATTCCAGTACACATCTATTAGAATGAATGGGAACACCGCTTTGGACAACAGTTTGGCAGTTTGGTAAAATACAAGGGACAGGTCTACACTGACAGAAAACAGCCCTGGGGGCCTGGGGTAGGGCAGGAAAGGAGGGATTACACAGAAGAAGGTCCAACTTTGGGGGATGATGGAAATGTTCATCCTTTTAATTGTGGAGACAGTTTCACAGGTGTATGCATTTGTCAAAATTCCTCAAATTGTACATTTAGTATGTGCAGTTTATGATATGTCAATTATCCTTCCACAAAGCTGTTTTTCAAAAAAAAAACCAAAGGGCATGTGCTCACATGTAGAATCTGAGGCTGTTTCCTCACACCAGGGGTAAGAACAAGCCACAAAATGGAAGAGTCCCGAAGGCAGAAGGGAGCTCTTCGGGCTTTCAGATGTAGTCTTCAGAAATTTTAATGTCAGAGAACAATAGAACCGGTTCTTGCTTTGGCCATGGTTATGTCATCCTGTTTCTTTGAATTCAGCCAACAGTTGCAGTGTGGAATTGCCCTGGCAGTTTCTGTGGAATGATGGGGTTATTTGAAAATCAGTCTAGCTTGTTGGGTGAGGCGAAAGGACAGGTTCTGGCTGCGTTGAGCTGTGGAAGAACTGGCCCCTGAGCCTGCCTTGAAAAGGTCTAAGAGAGCCATGTGCAATGACTATGGCTTGGCTCCTCCTTGAAGAGAAGATGTGAGGAAAGAGTATTTCCCCTGAGGCTGTGGAAGGGCCGGGAAGCCTAACCCTGACTGTCCTTCCTCACACAGTGTCTCTGCGGCGTCCTGAAAGCCCTGTACCGCAGCAAACACGGAGGTCGCAAGGTACAATCCTGGGCAGAGGAGCTGGCAGGCATCCTCCTGAAGCAGGTGAGTGCCGCGGCAGTAGAGCCATCCTGGACTCCCCTTTCTCTCTGCTTTGGAGGGGACGGCTTCCCACGACCAGGGCGCCACTCCACACAGCACAGGTGTCTTTCACGTGGGGATCTCAGCCTTACACACCTCAGGCTTCCCCGAAACAGTGACATGCCTGGATTCTTGACACACAGTGGGATCTTTCCCACGAGGACAGGTGGACAGATCTGTATGATTCCTGGGGTGAAGGGCCTTTGTTGGTCCCCCTGAACTCTGGGAAAAGGCCAGAAGCTCGAGCCTCTCCATCTGCCTGTGGGAAATGTCTAGACTTCTCTGTTATGGAGTAGGAGGAGGACCATTGGTGTTTAGCAAAAGGGTGATACTTTCCTGGTATTTGATTTTTAGCCATTGTCTTTCTCCCTATGAGGAGGGAACTGTGAATTCCTGGGTTGCATTTTCCTGTTTTCCTTATAGCCAAGCACCATGTCTTTCTTGGCTTCATGCCTCAGTTTCCTCAGCCATGCCCCAGGGGCCCTGGTTTTAGTCTGAAGGCCTTGTTCTTCCTACAGATGAGTGACAAAAGAGAGCCACCCACCAGCTCTTTGTGAAGAGATCCAAACCTTAGCCCTAAGGGCATTTAACCTGCTGAGTAAGTCAACTCCTTTCCCTAGCCCCAGGGGTGTGTGTGTGTGTGTGTGTGTGTGTGTGTGTGTGTGTCTGCATGCACCTGTGTATGAGTGTGTTTGTGTACTCAGGACTGTTTTGCCTCTTCCTTGACTGGAGAGGGGCCAAAGTCCTCCTGGGGGCTTCCATCCTTCTAGACAAGAGGCAAAGGAGTTCCTGAGAGCTCTGCCTGAAATGAAATGGATCTGAAAGGGCACAGGCATTGGCCCCCCACTCCTTTGGTTTCCCCTCACATAGCCTGGGACTGCCTTCCCTTTCTTCCGTGGGGACCTGCAGCTCAGAATAAAGTGAAATAATGTCACTTCGGCAGTGATGAGCACAGTGTGCTGGCCTAGGGCAGGGAATGCAGGGGGCAGGGGAGGGCCAAGGTCTGGCTCAGGGAGAGCCTCTGGCACCGTGTCTGGCACACGGTGATGCGGACAGACACTGGTTCTCTACCTTCCTCCTTCCTTTCTCCATCCTGATGGCCCCTGATTTATCCAGCCATGGCCTCAGTGGTTGCTGGGAGCATGATTTCCTCCTACTTATTTCCTGCCACACCCCCCCCACGAGTCTCTTGTCTTCACACCGTCCTGATAGGCCCCTTATGCATGGATGCCACAGACAACATACTTCAGAGGGCAATCCCATCAGAGGAGGAGTCCACAGTGCTGTCTGCACTTGACGCCTCCAGGGAGGTGGTCCCTGGAGGTGAGTGGGACGGCGTGCGGGGCTGGGGTGCCAGGGCTTGCTGTTTCCTAGGAGATTCCTTTCTCTGGGCAACAGTCAAGTCTACTAGTTAAAAGCACTGTTTTAAACTCAAAGTGAAGTCAGTGGGTTCAAATCTTGGCTTTGCCTCTTACTAGCTGTGTAGCTTTGGGCAAACCCCTTTTATTCTGTGCCTCTATGTCCTCTTCTGAAAAATGGAGGTAAAAATATTACCTACCTGTAGGAAGTTTTAGTGAGGATTAAATGAACTGACAGTGTGTGGTGTGCTTAGAACAGCGCTTGCTATGCAAGTGGTTTTACTGTGACTGTCGCCTGGAAGAATGGGCTCCACCTGCAGTCACCTGCTTATGTTAAATACTGTCTGTGTGCGCCACCCAGTGCTGGGCACTGAGGCACACACATGAGGACGACTTGGGCACTGCTGTCCATGAGCTCGCTGGTGGGCAGGAAGGGGAGGCTGTTCCTGCAGGGAAACGATGCCAGGCCACGTGCACTAAGTTGCTGAAACATGTGCATGACGACGCTGGGCAGGAATGCAGGGAGGGATCCCTCAGGGGCTGGGATGGGCTCATGGAGGGGATGGACCAAAGGCAGGGGAAGGAGTTGTCACCATGGCTAGGTGAAGGAGCTCTCAGTGAAGAAGAGCCTGGGCCAAGGTCTACAGGCTGCGACACAGAGGGCGGGAACACAGCTTGGCTGCACAGAGGCATCTGTGTGGGCAGCCACGGGAGGCTGGCAAGGGTGGAGGCTCCAATGCCAGCTTGATGAGAGGACTGCTTCAGGGCACTTTTCCGTCTAGCCTGGTTGATCTCAGTGCAGTTGGCAGGCAGAGGGGTGGCTGATGCAGACACCTTGGAGATGTGTCCCTGCCCGCGGGACCTTTTGTTACTCGCGGGGGGCGAGGGGGACCGTGCCTGAAAGAGATGGGCGAGAGAAAGGAACGAAACCAAGCAAATGGTTGTCAAGGTCTACTTTACTTGGATTTTTAGTAGGTTTTATATACAGAAACAAGGAAGTAGAAACAGAAAAATAGAGTGGAGGGATGATGAGGCTTGAGTGTGGGCCAATCAGCCCCAATCAGCATCCCAATGGCACCGGAAGCTGTTTGTGATTGATCACTCAACCCCAACCTGGCAGGGGGTCGGGAACAATTGCAGGTGGCATGCCCTGGAGCAAGCACATCATGGAATGCATTCTTCTCGGAACTATAGCTGGGGGGCTGGGTGCTATTTTCGTCTTAGGCTATTTTCCGGGCGAGGCCCTTGCGTAGGACAAGTCGTTGGAATGTGGAGGGTCTTAGTCTCCAACAGAGATGCCACCTGGCCTCTGAAGACCGAGACTGTACCTGGAAGTCCTCCCACCTGTGTGTCTTATGTCACCTGAAGCAGCAGAGGAGGGGGAGGAAGCTGACCTTCGGCTGCATGCCTGTGTTTTCTCTAGCACCCCAGGTGGAAAGGCTGAAGAGGGAGGTGCTGGCCTCGGTCACCTGAGTGACACAGAAAGATCGAAGACCAGTGAGCTGAAGGGCTGCGTGTTTGTGCTGAGAGGGCCGTTGCCTCTGAGACCTTGTGGTCTTGCTCACAGAGGGGGCGGGGGGGCATGAAAGAGGAGTAAGAGAGGGTGCGCTGCCCAAGTGACTTCTAGCCTCAGGCCCTGCCCTCAGGATACATTGGAGAGTTCAAAGCCCAGGAAGAGTGGAGCAGCAGAAAGGTGTTGCCCACCTTCGGAGCCTTTGCTCTGGGCAGCACTGTGGGGTCCTCAGGGGAGCCATGGAGCTCCAGATGACACTCCTCAGTGCCTGGGTGCACAGTTTGCTGAGGGAGAAGAGCCTCGGGCGTCATGTGTGGGGTGGGGTCTGAGCAGCTGTACTTTGAACAAGCTCCACAGCCAGGTCGCAGGGACTCCCAGCTCTGACTGTGCGGGACAGAGCGTTGGGGCAGCAAGAACAGGGCACCGTGGCTGTGAGCACCAAACATAGGACAGTGGCATCATCTTGAAAGACAGGGGCCCAAGTCCCAGAAGGCTCACGAAGAGCCTGGTGTTGAGGGCTGGGCCCTCGGGACTTGCAGGAGTTGTTACTGGCCTGACCCATGAAGGCGGGAACACGGGGCCTTTCCTGGACTCAGATTCCCCCTATGCAGACATCTGTGGGGCACACGGTGTGGACAAGCCCAGTGCTCAGAGTCCTCCAGGAGGACGGTGCAGGGATGTCAGTGAGAACTTCAGGGAGCGTTGGAAGTGGTCAGGGTCAGTGACTGTGCTCTGTCATGGCCACAGAGTCCACTGAAGAGTCACAGTCGACTTGGACTCGGGAGACCTGAGTTCCTTGAAGTCCTCCCTAACTTGCTGAGGTGCTCTGTGTCCTCTCTTGGAACCCAAAGGGTCAGATGGTGTCCCTGAGGTCTGTTGCTGTGTTGCATGTGATGCCCTCTGACCCTGCAGGTGCGCATGGCCCTCCTGAGGTTCCTGGAGGCGCTGGGGCAGCCTGACTACCTGAGCCTTCCCGAGGGCAGGGTCGTCACAGATTACCTCCTGAAGCTCAGCCAGTGGGACTCCTCGGTGAGCAGGGCCAGCCCTGAGGGGGCCTGAGGCAGCAGAAAGGCTGAGGGGAGGGAAGGGAGAAAGGGTGGGGTGCGGAGCAGAGCAGGGACAGGAGGCTGGGCCGGCAAGACTGGGTTCGGGGGGCTTTGGCCTTCCCAGCCCTGGTCAGTGGCCCTGGGAAGCCTTGTTCCAGGTGGGTCAGCACACATCGCTTCAAGATTTTAGTTCTTTTTTTCCTTCCTCCAGAATGAAGTGGACATCAGACCCATGTGTTCAAAAGTCCTGCAGACGGTACAAACAGCTGACTCACAGAGTCCTCCCCATTCCTCCTCTCCTGGCTCCCAGCCCACTCCTCTGTCCCCCAGACTGCCTTCTTTTTTTTTTTATTTTGGCATATTATGGGGGTACAGATTTTAAGGTTTCAATAAATGCCCTTTCCTCCCTCCCCCCACAAGTCTGAATTTCCAGCATGACCATCCCTCAGATGGTGCACATCTCACTCATTATGTATATATATACCTGCCCCCCTCCCCCCTGCCCAATACCCTATTACTGTAGTACCTATGTGTCCACTTAGGTGCTACTCAGTTAATACCAGTTTGCTGGAGAATATATCTGGTCTATAACCCAAAAGACAAAAGACACAATAGACAATCTAATGAAACGACTCAAAGAGCTGGAAAAAGAGAACAGACCAGCCCCCAAACCAGCAGAAGGAGTGAAATCAACAAGATCAAATCAGAACTAACAAAATGAAAACAGGGAAGCATTCAGGAGATTAATAAAACAAAAGTGGGTTCTTTGAAAAAATAAACAAAAAGACACGCCACTGCTAAACTAACAAAAAGCAGAAAGAGAAATCTCTAATAAGCTCATCAGAACACAAAAGGAGATATCAAACTGATCCAAAGAAGATACAAGTTATTTATGAGTACTACAAAAATCTTATCCACAAATTGGAAAATGTGGAGAAATGGACAAATTTCAGAAACACACAGCCTCCTAGGCCCAACCAGGAAGAAATAGATTCCCTGAACAGACCAATCTCAACAGCTGAAATAGAAACAGCAATTAAAATCTCCCTAAAAAGAAAAGTCCGGTCCAGATGGCTTCATACCTGAATTTACCACACTTACAAAGAGAACTAGTACCTATCTTGCAGAAACTATTCCACAACATCGAGAAGAACGGAAACCTCCCCAACACCTTTTATGAAGCGAATATTACTCTGATACCAAAACCAGGAAAGGATGCAACAAAAAAGAAAACTACAGACCAATATCCTAATGAATATAGATGCAAAATTTTCAACAAAATCTTAGCTAACCGTTTCAGACGCTTATCAAAAAAATAATCCATCACGACCAAGTGGGCTTCATCCCAGGGATGCAGGGATGGTTCAACATATGTAAATCTATAAATGCAATTCACCACATAAACAGAAGCAAAAACAAAACCACATGATTCTTTCAATAGATGCAGAAAAAGCTTTTGACAAAATTCAACACCCTTTCATGATACGAACACTTAAGAAAATAGCATAGAAGGATATACCTAAAAATGATACAAGCCATATATGACAGACCCATAGCCAACATCATACTGAATGGGAAAAATTGAAATCATTCCCACTTAGAACTGGAACCAGACAAGGCTGCCCACTATCTCCACTTCTGTTCAACATAGTACTGGAAGTCTTGGCTACAGCAATCAGACAGGAAGTGGAATCAAAGGTATCCAAATAGGGCAGAAGAGATCAAACTTTCACTGTTTGCTGATGATATGATATTGTATCTAGAAAAACCCCAAGGATTCAACAAGAACTCCTGGAACTGATCAATGAATTTAGTAAAGTCTCAGGATACAAAATCAATACACAGAATCAAGGCATTCGTATAGCCAACAACAATCTAATTGAAACCAAATTAAAAGACTCAATACCCTTCACAATAGAAACAAGAATTAAAGTACCTAGGAGTATATAACAAGGAGGTGAAGACCTCTACAGGAGAAACTATGAAACACTTGAGGAAGGAAATAGCAGAGGATGTAGAACAGATGTAAATCCATCATGCTCGTGGATCGGCAGCTCAACATCATCAAAATGTCTATACTACCCAAACTGATCTACAAGTTCATGCAATACCTATTAAAATCCCATCAACATTCTTCACAGATATAGAAAAAATAATTTTACCTTGTATGGAACCAAGAAGACCCTGAAATCAAATCGAGCAATTCTAGGGGCGC